TGTCAATAAATCAGTGCATATTAAAATACTAAACTATATATATCTTCTTCAGTCGAAGTGTTGTGAGTCAAAAATTAAAAAAGTAATGCAATGGATATTGTAATTTTAAGTCATAGTGCGATATCAGAGTAGAGAAACGTATAGCATTGACAGTATCAAACAACATTATGAGTTAAAAAAGACAAATAGACTTAGAGACAGTAATAGGTGGAAGGGGGAAGCAGAAAAGTATTAGAAAGGGGAAAAGGAATATACGATGCATGATGGAAGGATTATATGGTGTGCTCATTTTGCAAGCATCTCTTTTTAATTCTATCCTCTCGTTTACTCGGTGATCGTTTGTAGTTCCAGTTTAGCCAACTTTAGTTGTTGTCTTTGTCACGCATATCATTTAAGTTCGATCTCTTTTTATTATGTACAAGAAGACTTCATGATGTGATATTAATCGATTTCAACGAAACTCGTTATAGCGATAAGTCGAGTATTACTGGATTAAAAGATAATAGGCACTACTCAAGCGTTTGCGAGAAAATCAAAATTGAAAATTTCGAGCGCCTAATAAGCCAGTTCAGTAGATCACTCGATTGAAGAGCTCGTGGCGCAGCGATAGTGCGTCTAATTAATAACCTCGATATTATGGGTTCAAATCTCGAACGTTATTGACATTTTTTTTCTTTTGCAAAATACAATTATTGCACAAAATAAATGTATATCATAGATTAATATATTTTGTATATTTATTATTGTACATTACAAGTGCATTTTTCCGTTTGCATTCTCTGTCCAGAAAATCTATTCAAATAATTATGTTACGTCCGGCGGACTCACGCGCCTCTTTTCTTTCATAAAGATCTCGAATTCCTCGAAACTCTAAAATTTTATATTCTTTCCTTTTTTATTTTTCATCTTAAAAACTAAGAATCCGTTATCTCCTCATGAATGTCGCTCCGAGATAAAAATCAATATGTATGGAAAGCGTAAGACTGATTAACGCCAAGATTAACGATCAAGGCGCGAACGATTCTCGCGAATTCGTAATTATAAAATTTAAGAAACGGCACGCGACGTTCAGGGGTAGATTCTGGGTGGTCCCGTGGCGACGATGCATCCGCGACTTCTCGGCGCCTGAGACGCGCGTTTCCCCCATAAATCTTAGGGTCATAAAAATTTGGAGTTTCACTTTCCCACTCTACTGATTCTTGTCAACATCCTTTCCTCTCCCAAAATCTTGACCAACCCGAGAGCAAAAGAAAATCCTACTACCAGCCAACGAAACCTACTCCACCAATCCAAATTTGAGTAATCTGGGGCGATTAGTATAAAAATCGCGATTCCGCAACCCTTGCAGCAGATAGATATCGGAGCAGATAGATAGCAGAGCAGATAGATATCGGAGCAGATAGATATCGGAGCAGATAGATAGCAGAGCAGAAAGTTAGCAGAACAGATAGACAGCAAATTCTTCTCTAACCGGAGTTTCGGAGTTTTACTTGTCCCGATAAACACAGTGAGTCGGTCGCAATAATCAAAGTTAAAATAAAGTCAGTGAGTTGGTCGCGTTATTCAAGTTTAATAGAATCAGTGCAACCAATTCTATCATCGGGAATCACCCCCAAATCAACAGCCTTGATCGAGGAAGTCCATTCAACCTACAACATTCGACGCCACCTTGTCCGCGGTTGGGCTCCACATCACCAGTAAGCTTTCAATTATTTACATTAAGTGGTCCCTTCACGTCTCCCCCCCCCTTTTTCTCTCTCTTTGGGGATCCATTAAAAACATAAATTTTCTAGTGCGTTCACGCCGTCCATTCGCCCCTCGTCGCCGCCTGACGAGAACCGCCCGATCGCGCCGATTCGCCGCCCGCGCCCGGATTTCTCACCAAACCCAACTGACAGTATCGGAACCGATTCCCCTTATTCAATTCCCCATAGCTACTCTATCTCCACCCCTCGAAATTTCCTATTCCCCAATTTCGAATCCATCCCCTATTCCTTCTGCTAATT